TCCCTCCCTCCCTCCCTCCCTCCCTGCAAACCCCACTCCTTTCTAGCACTGATGACATTCCCTAGCTGGGTCATGAAACATCTACAAGAAAACCAACCAAGCTCAGAGACCCCCAAGGACCCCACAGTTCAACTCTGAGCCACCAATAGTCGCCTCTTCCGCCTTCTAAACTCCACTGCAGGAGGCGTCAGAGCGGTAGAACCGTCATTATTTGGGGGGAGGGCCGGGGAAACTGGGGCGAAAAAACCCCCTTGGCTTTCCACACTGGGTGTGTGTGTGTGTGTTTGCTGTGTTGAATGCCATGCTTTGCTTCTCCCCCCCCCCCCAGAGAGAAGGCCCTGGCGCTGACAGGAAACCAGGGGATCGAACAGGCTATGGATTGGTAGGTATGCTCTCCGCCCCTCCCCGTTCTTAGCAGAACGCCCTCCCTCCTCCCCTCGGCGGCCCTTCTGAACGGCCCTCCTCGGCGTCTCTCTCTCTCCCCCCGACCCAGGTTGGTGGAACATGAGAACGATCCCAACCTGGACGAGCCCTTCACAGCCCCCCAAGGTCCCGTTCCAGACGCCGAGGAACCCGCCAAAGGAACGACGCCGGATTCGGAGCAAGGAGGGTCAGGTCAGAAGAGATCCTGGCAAGGGGGGTGGGGTGGGTGGGGGTGTGGCTTTTCTTTGCTGGCTCCGCGCAGGGGGTTCCTCGACTTAACGACGGTCCGTTTTGTGACCGTTCCGCCACGAGTCGCAACGACGCTGAGCGACGTTGACCCGGGACCGTTTTCCGCACGGCCAATGCGGCGTTCCCTGTGGTTGCGTGATCCGAATTCGGACGCTCGGCAGCTGGACTCACATTTATGACGGTGGCTGTGTGTGTGTGTGTGTGTGGGTTTCACGTGCTCCCCTTTTGCGACGGGGAAGTCCAGTGGGGAAGCTGGATTCACTTAACGGCCGTGCTCCTAATTTAACGACGGCAGTGGTTCGCTTAAGGATGGGGCCAGGAAAGTTGTGAAATGCAGCAAACTCCCCTTGGTAAATGTCTCGCTTAGCCACAGAAATCTTGGCCTGAATGGTGGTCGTAAGTTGAGGACTACCTGTAGAGGGTTGCACATCATTTGAGCATGAATTGCCAGTGGATTATGGTTTTCATCCGCCCTGGTCCCCCTTGGAAAGGTGCAAGGGAACGTTTTTCTTCCCATAGGTGAGCTGGCCGAAGGAGAGACACAGCGTCCCCTGACGGAAGAGGAAAAGCAGGAACAGACGAAAAGGTTAGGCCTTTCCTTCCCTCTCCTTCCTTCCTTTTCTTTTCTCCCTTCTTTTCCTTCCTTCCTTCCTTCCTTCCTTCCTTCCTTCCTTCCTTCCTTCCTTCCTTCCTCCTTCCTTTCCTTTCCTTTCCTTTCCTTTCCTTTCCTTTCCTTTCCTTTCCTTCCTCCTTTCCTTTCCTTCCTTCCTTTCCTTCCTTCCTTCTTTCCTTTCCTTCCCTTCCCTTCCCTTCCCGGCTTTTCTCCCTGCCTGCCTGCCTCCCTTTCTTCCTTCTTCTCTCTCTTTCTCTTTTCCTTGCTTCCTTCCTTCCTTCCCTCCCTCCCTCCCGGGCTGAGGGGTAGCCGTGCCTCCTAAGCTGCTCCAGTGTTTCCTCCCCCCCCCCCAGGATGATGGAGCTGATCAACCAGAAGCAGAAGGAGCGCGAGGAGCGGGAGAAGCGGGAGACCATCGAGCGGGAGAAGCAGCGCCGGAAACAAGGCCAGGAGCTCCTCCTCATCCGCCAGAAGCTGCAGGAGGACGAGATGAAGAAGCTGGCCGAAGAGAGGCGGAGGGAGAAGATGGAAGAGAAGCTGGCCAAGTGAGGGGACCGTCTGTGTGTGTGTGTGAGAGAGAAAGTGAAAGTGAAAATGAAAGTGAAAGTGAAAGTAAGCCAAGAGGAATGGGGGGGGGGCGGGAATTGCACTTCCAGCTGGTCTCCCTCTAAACCTGCCTCCCTCGACCTTCGTGACTTTAAGATTGGGGGAGGGGGGGGGACTTCAACTCCCAGAATTCCCCAGCCAGCATCCTTTAAGGGAGGGGGTGGGGGGGCGTGGCCTTCTGGCTCGCTCTTCTCGAGGGGTTTCTGGGAGTTGAAGTCCAGCCTTCTCAAGGTGCCTTAAAGCAGGAGGAGGAGGAGGACGACCTTGGACTACACCTCCCAGCCTCCCTCAGCGGTGGCCCTGCCGGCTGCCAGGAGGCTGGGTTCATCTCAATGGGGGGGGGGGGGGGGGGGGTGGGGGGGGGGGGGGGGGGGGGGGGGGGTCAAAGGAGTTCGTCCCGCCGGTTTTGTCGGCCAGCCCTGCTCCGTCCCATGGACACCCACCCTCCCCGTTCTCCATCTCTTTGGAGCTTTGGGGACTTATCATTACACCCCAAACTGTGAAGGGAGTGAGGGGACCCTTCCACCGTTGACCCTCCCCTCCCCTCGTTCTTTTTTTCCCAGGCAAAGAGTGCGGGAGAAGATAGAACGAGACAAGGCCGAGAGAGCCAAGAAGGTGAGGGGGAAACAATGGGGTTTAATTTGCATTATTTAGACCAATAATGTTGCCTTTGCGTTTTCTTTCTTCGCCCAACTTCCCTCCTCCCTCCGTCTTCCCTCTCGTCTCCCCCTTCCTTCCTCCCTCTCTCTTTCCTCTCCCTCCATCCTTCCCCCTCCCTCTCCTTCCTTCATCCTTCCTCCCTCCTCTTCCTTTTCTTCCCCCTCCCTCCCTCCCTCCCTCTTCCATCTCATCTCTCCTTCTTTCTCCCTTTCCTTCTTTGCTCTCCCTCCCTTTCTCTCCTTCCTTCCTCTCTCCCTTCATCCTCCCTCCCTCTTCT